AACAGAGTAAAGATAAGTGTGCAAATAATAACTAATTTGCCGAAACTGGCGAGTCCAAAAGCCGCAGCATATACATGCGCCGCCCAAATATCTATAAAGAAATAGAAAATCTGTTTACAGTTCTGTTTCATATGTTGAGAGATACGGCCAATATATCCATAGATCTCTTCATTTTGCTCTCAAAGTGCACCAGATTGATGCTTTTAACTTCAATATTTAAAAACAAATCTTTTTTAGATTTGTTTAGAGAAGGTGAGGACCCTCTTAGAGGAGGTGAGGTCCACTCCCCACTTGTAAAAATAGCACTTTACCCCTGCTTACACCCATGTGCCGTGAGCTGATTATCGAGCCTTCATTGTAACAGTCGCGGGTGCACTGTGTGTGCGTGTGGGGAGTGTTGCAGTAGAACATTTCACTGTAGCGCTGGTGCATTAATGGGAAACCCTTATAATGTTTGAGCACCCTCTATGAAACGTCAAGCTACCCCACAGCACCCCCTAGAGAAAATCTCTGGCGCCGCCACTGGCTGCACATACAAGATATCCGATTAAAGCTGAGACTCCACAGATTATGTAGGTACATAGTATCATCACTGAGTGATCCGGACTCGCGACAGGGGAAGCAAATACAGTCATCACAACACGTACCTTCACAGAGTTTCTAGGGAGATCGTCTCACCGCCGTAGCTGTCAATCTGATCAAAATACGTGTTCAATGGCATTAAAATGAGAAAAAACGCGGCTGAATCGGTTAATCCATAGGTTTTTAACGTCTATGTATAAACAAATTATTGAATTTATAATCCATAATTCCATTTTTATGTAAAAATCGGAGAGCAAATGCTAGCTGCTAATGGTTGCCACCACAGCTAGCTGCTGCTTCCGGTCAAGCAGCAGTCTCAGTGAGATATAAATATATACATATCTTTGCGTTTTGGACTAACTTTAAAATATTCCCATGTTTTTGAAGACCTAGGGCGAGATGTTTTCGTTTGAGGGCTTCGTGCGCAATCCTGTGAGGAGGAGGTGATAGCCGTTTCAGTCTCCATTGTGTTAGAAGTGCGATTGCGAACTGCTTGTTGCTTTGGGTGACCCACGTGTGTGTGGCGACCATATATACAGTCTATGGTGTCGACGCGGAAATATGTCGTCGACGATATTTTGAAGTCGACGCGTCGCTACAGCACTACTGCCTGTACTTGCTGAGTTACTGACTGGAGTATGTTGAATATAGCTGACCAAAATGCTGAATTTATGTAGTTATGTAATTTATGTGAATTTATGCTGTGGCAGTGCAATGTGATATCATTTTGATCTAATTTATTTTTGGTCAAATATACTAATAAATATAGATTATTTTAGATATGAATATTAAACATTAGAAGTTGATTAGATGTTTTTTATTATTATTTTTATATTATGTATTTGAATATATATTATGTTTTTGGGGAGTTTTTTTACTTTAAAAATAGGTTTTTCAGTTGAATAAATGTTAAAGTTCAAGAAAAACCATGATTTCAATTAAAACTGTTTTCTTTTTAAAACACAGGATTTTTCAGAGAATAATTCTACCCTCAATGTTGACCAAAAATAATCGTTATTCTTATTTTTTAGTATGCCACAATAGAGCATTCCTAGTTTCATAAGAACACCTGTTAACATCTTTAACTGCCTTCTCAGACCTCCTGCCTCTGGTAATAGTTGCCATTGTAATTGGATATATTGACAGAGAAAACCAGTATGCCAGCTCTGACGTCAAGTTTGCCATAGCAATCTGCTCCATCATACCTCTGTCTTATTATATCGGTATGGGCATTGCCAGGTGAGCTGTTTTCATCACTTTGAAACACACAAAGAGATTTTCCCTAAAAAGCACCTTCTGATGTAAATTCTTTATCATTTTTGACAGTATCTCAGCTCAGAGTAACTTTGCAGTGGGTGCGGTAGTGAACGCCACCTTCGGCTCCATCACAGAGTTGACCTTCTACATTACAGCCTTGCTCAGAGGTCACCGGGCAGCCAACCCGTGTCTGCAGGAGGTCGTCAAAGCAGCGCTGACTGGCACTTTGCTTGGCTGCATCCTCTTCATCCCTGTGAGCCTTCCTGCATTTACATCACATTTTGCAGCTTTTACTCAAGAAAAATATTTAAAATGAGCGCCAGTTTAAGAATGTAAACGGAGAGCTTACCAAAACCTTTGTCTTTTAAAAGACCTTTGTCTCACCAACAGTAAAAAGTCTTAAAAGTGTATTTCTTTTAATACTGTATCATTTCAGCAATCAGTGAAATCAAAATGGAGACAAGAGTCCCTTTCATATCACACCACCAATACAGCATGTGCAGTATGAATTTAGGCCCTCATTTTGTTTTTCTCTCAGGGCGTCTGCATGATAATCGGAGGACTGAAACACAGTGAGCAAAGATTCAACAGTCGCTCTACAGGAGTGAGCGCTGCGTTGCTTTTTATCTCTGTAGGAGGCAAGTATTTACACACACTATATCCTGTACCTTTAGGCTGTAACCGTTTTGAAAGTGTAGACAATTTTCTCTTTTCTTGCTGTGTTTTTAGATGCAAACCACTTTATGGAACTGGCCTCCCTCACCTAACAAAATGATTTGTACACATTTAGTAAGCTGGAGAAGCTGTTAGCTCTTACTCTACATTGCCTGCAGAAAACCCTTTTCATTGTATGTGTTTTACATTTAACACTTGCAGAGCCTGTTTGCTGGAATAAATGCTACAGTATACACATTTTTACATAATTTCTTCACATACTTCTGCAGTGGATCATATGAATTGATCAAACAAAAACTGTAACTTGTGGCTGTAAAACACCAAATGTTAGCTTTTGAAGGGTTAATAAATGAACACATGTTTTCCTTAATACCATACCCATAAACCAGGCTTAACAAGAACAATTGTAGAAAGTTGCATATTCTGATTTATTCAATAGATAAAGTAGAGATCAGGAGGTTATTTCAGTAATGACAAGTTCATACAACAGTCAACAATTCAGCTACACATTACATCAAATGTGGCAGCAACAGAACCAGCTGTTGCTGTTTCTGTCTGTCAAAATTGAAATCAAATGCAATATAAAAGCTTTACCAATGTCACACACTGTCTGTCCATGGCAGGTGTGTTTGCCCCCACGCTGTTCTCCAAGGCTTATGGAAGTCTGGTGTGCGACGCCTGCGCCAACTCCTCTGGAGGAAACAGCAGCGGGGCGTTTGTCTGTCACAACTGCCACTACGACCTGGTCAGCATTAGAAGTCTCAGTCTCACCAGCGCATCCTAACAAAACATATGACTTACTTCCACTGTATAATGTGCTTTTAATTTTTTTCCAACAGAACAATGGTACACTGTTCCGCAACCATGTGGAGTAAGATATATTTTTTAAGTCTCGTTTTGTAAAATGTCTTCTTGTTGGTGCATTTAAAACCCTGACACCAAAATTCAAGAGTTAACATTTCCACAATGTCCGTGTTTGCTTGTTTTTTGTCACACATTCTCAAATGTTTTGAGCTAACGTTTTTTATTTGTCTTACTTCTCATTTAATGTGCATTGTGTGTTCTTGTTGCAGGCCACTGGTGTACACAGTGTCTGCCCTCCTACCAGTTGCCTACATAATTGGTCTGATATTCACACTGAAGACACACTCTCACATTTATGACATCCATGTTGGAGGCGGACAGGGTAGGACTCTCCTCTCGTATTTCACGTTTAAAGGAGTTGTAAGGAGTAGGGTTGAATGAGTATCTTATCCAAAGGCAGAGAAAAGCAATATACAGGTTTTTTTTCTGTGCTGGTACTCATGTCTGCTTCTCCAAATGGGGTGGGGTCCTGACTGACAATCTACTGTACAAACCATCCTCTTAAACACATAGCTGTACCTTGAATTATTCCACTAGAAGACAGTGAAAGGTGGTCTAATGCTAAAATAATATCTTTGTCTGTGCAGAGAATGGCCCCCATGGAGCAGTGGTCCACTGGTCACGGTGGAGGTCTCTGGTCATCCTCATCATTGCTACTGTGCTCACGTCTGCTTGTGCCGATCTAGCCACCGAGCACATCCAGCCCATACTAAACCAGCCCAACGTCTCTCAGGTCAGGACGTGCTTCTGAGCACATGCAGTCAGTTTCAATCTGGTGGTATCAACGCTTTTCTCTCCTTCTACAGTATTTCATCGGGGTGACAGTTCTCGCCATGGTGCCTGAGATCCCAGAGATTGTAAATGGGATCCAGTTTGCTCTCCAGAACAACATCAGTCTAAGGTAAATCCTGTCTTTTTTAAATGGTTAAAATTAAAAAGTGATATCTGTACATTCATTTTTTTGTTTTTCAGCTTGGAGGTGGGAAGCTGTATTGCTGTTCAGGTCTGCATGCTGCAGATTCCAATTCTGGTCTTATTCAATGCCTGCTACGTAAGACTCCCTTTCCTCTATGTTCAGTTTCATCATTGATTATTTCATAAAGTACCCACACTGTTTGCTGTTTTATAGTTTCTGTAATCATCTCTTTTGGACAGGATGTGGGATTTGTGCTGCTGTTCAGTGACATGCACCTGTGGGCCAGTATGTTCAGTGTGATTCTTGTCAACTACATCTTCATGGACGGCAAGTCTGATTATTTTCAAGGTAAGTTTATTTTGATATTTTATGTAACAAACCAGTGATAATAATTCAACTTAAAATGAACCTGTTAACCAATAGTAACCGCTTGATATTTGCTTTGTGTAATGCAGGACATTTGAAAAGTAAGAATCTATTAGGTCCATACTGGGGGTCCCGCATGTATTTACAGATTGCTACTGCTCGTCAAAAGTTTTAAGATGAACTCCTTTTATCATCTGAAAACCAACTTGCTTAATATCTATCACTGTTCTTATTTGATGTATCTTGCCAGGACTCCCCCGTTAAATAAAGGTTTATTCGTAGTGGTTAAGTAAAATGCTATGTTAGATGATTTTAACCTAGAGAACAAATAGTCAGCACACAAGGTTGTGAATGTGTTTATTTATTGCATTACAAAAACATCAATAGCTGCAACCTTGAATGCACCAAAGAGACTAAGAGCCGAGTTAAGTCCTTTATGTCGATAACTTTGCTGATTTACTTGAAGAGATTTGATTATATAGGTCAAGGAGTTTTATATAGCCAAAGATATTCAGACCTATAGTATAGTTAATTTTTTGCATGCCAATTCAGTATGGTGGATTGATTGACTGTAATCTTAACACATTGGGGATCACATCATGTTTAACCCTATGACATGTTACTTTCTGTCCCCTCAGGCACAGCTCTGGTGGTCGTCTACCTCATACTGCTGGCTATGTATTTCTTCGCTCCATCTCCAACAGGCTGCTGACCGTGGGACTTTCAGCCCAAGTTACTTTTTAAAGTCTGAAAGTCATTAGGCCCAATTCCAAACTGCCCCCTTCAACTAGACACTTCCTCCCAGTTTGCGCATTCACTTCATAAATTTTATTGTAACGTTTTGAATATATATATATATACACACACAGTTACAAAAACTAAGCAGCTTATGAATATCACATTTTCAAACAAAAGTAGTTTTATTATCTAAGAGATCCTGATTTGAAACAATTATGCAATGTTACGGCATTTCCTGTTACTCCTGGGGAGAGGAGAGATGCCACTGTATTTACACCCTCCACCTGAAAGAAGGGAACCTAGTTTAGCCGTGAATGAGACTACGCCATCTACCCACTCCGTCACAGAGTGGGAGTGGGGCGGTTTCGAGTTGGACCTTATGTGAAATGTAAAACCCCTCCCTTTCTGACTACATTCAATGTAAATTCTGACAGGTTTGTAGTAATTATTTAAAAGTCCGTAAAACCATGCAAATGAATGAGCCTTTTAATGTCAGGTAAGTTGCACATCTATACTACTGTAAAATGCAGCGTTTGTAAGATAACATTTAACAATGTCTCCTTAAACTCGGTCTTTGTAAACTGAAGAGAACATCTGTAGGTTTTGTTTTTTGATCAAATACAACTGAATAGTATATAAAGTATCTGCACTAAACCTTTTTGTTTAAAAAAAAAAAAAAAGGTACTGGTATGTTTTTTTAGACTAACTCCAAAATGTGAAAGATATTTTAGATAAAACACTGGTACCCTATATTTGGAAAGAGTGTCATGGCTGGCTGTGCTAAGCTATAATAATAACTCTTGTCAATACAACATTTTGAAAAACTGTCTGCCTGTGTTTTTATTGTTTGTACAGACAGGACCTGAAACATATGTACATTACAGCCATAGTTGCTTTTGAGAAGACATTCACCTTTTCTCCTGAGAATTTATGTAAAGTGACATGCACACCATACCAACATGCAAAGGAGATAATTTGACTTTCTTTGAACATCAAAAATGATGCCAATATAGGCAGTCCATTTTACAAGTCGGAGAATGTAGTTAAGCTGTTGCTTCATAAGAAGATTTAAATAAGGCAAAAATAACAAAATTAAGGTGGATATTTGAAATGAAAATGGGCATTATGATAGTTATAGATGAGACTAGCTTCTGTTGACATTTTGATCAAAGCATGCCACATCCTGAGTACGCCTCTTACCCTGCCTTGTTCTTTTTAGAAAAGGTACCATAGCACGTTCTCTGGAAAAACAACACCAAAATAAAAATGCAGCCTATGTGTAAGTATAAAAGCGTTTAAATAGAGTTTAGGCATCAAGGGGCAGTGAAACGAGAATGAATTAAAACGGAAATGTAGCTACATGTTCTGCTACAAAACAGCGGCTCAAATAAATAGATTAAACTTTGACTGCATCTCCATGAGCAGAAGGATTCAGCAACAAAAGGCTCATTTGGAGAACACTGTGTGCACAATTCAGAACAAATTAAGATCTTACTACACACACATTTACAAGTGTTAAAACGGTGTAACAATGCAGAAGGCACCAAATGTAGAACTGAAAAGTGCATGAGAATCACTGCGGCTCTACAAGTGAATTCCTTAATTTCCAACTTATTAATTAAGCTTTTTCCTTTAAGAGGAAGAACAATGGAAGAGGCACTAAGATTCACAGTGATGCCATGATGAGTTAAAAAGGCTTTTGAGTTATCTGATCCTAGGGCCTAATGTGACAGGAACATTTTTTAATCTGTTCAGTACAGTAACAATCACAGCTTTTAATTGGAAGGCCTTTGAGGCTAAAACATAATGCCTTTAATAATTGACCTAATTAGACTTTTAAGTATACCAGTCATAAAGTGTCCTCTCTTTTAAAAATAATCTGACTGATTACTAACAAATGTAATTTGATATCAGCACTGTTACAGTCTTACCTATGTGACAGGGTGTAGCACCAGCTGACTTATGACTTCAGCAACAGTGACACAAGCTGATCAGTCTGACTTTGATCTAAAATGACATCAACGCAGGCAAATTAATTTACCCTTTTAAGAAGGTCTTTGGATCATTTCAATGTTCCTACTTTAACAGCAATGTGGTAAAAACACAGAAAACTGGGGAATGCACTAGATAGTGTATCCGAAATGATAAGAGCTAAGCAAAAGAAGGAGTGATTCTGGTGACCATGCTTATCCATGGTGTCAGATACACGCAGAACAAAGTCTGACACCAAAATATCCAAACATTACATTTTGCCTAAAAACAGAAGAAAAAAAAAAAACTCACATTTACATAAAACTTAAGTTAAAAAGGCATTAAATGTTTTCCATAGTCCTCTGACATCAGCCTCTCTTGGTCCTTTAAAAAAGCGTTTTTTGCCTTCAGTGTTTTTAGAGTCAGTGCTGCTCCGTCACATACCGCTTCAGTTGCTCCGTCTATTTGAGCCGCTGGATGAGTGTGTGCGTCAGTCCCAAGCCGAGCAGCTGAAGGCTCGACAGCTGGGCCAAGTGAGGGAACGTTTTCAGCAGTTTCTCCCAGGTCAGTTCCAGCAGGCTGGGCACCACCAACCACACTTTGTACAAAGAGCCAGACCTTCGGTTCCCAAACATGTTGACGACGCCGCCATGGACGTACATGCAGCCAGCCTGGAAGGGGAAAAGTTGCATAAAATAGAGCAGCAGCAATTAGTTGATTAATACTTTTGCAGACATACATTTAGTGATCAACCATTTTGAAAAAGTATTAAATATTTCGGCATTTCTTTTTAAGCAAAATTACCAAATATCCTGTATTGTCGGGTTTACTAAGAAGATATACTGCTTCTAGATGATTCTAATTTAGAGCAGCATAAAATAAACAGACATAAGAATGTCGCTCTAGGATCTGGGAAATTGAGGTGGACATTTTGTTTACCATTTTCTGGCTACAGAGTAAACAATTAAAAAAACATTTAGAGCTGCAGATGACTTAATAAAGACAATACAGATAAGCTGCAGCCCTACAGCACAAAAAAATAGTGTCTGTCTCACTCGTGCAGAGGAGAAGTCTGCAGCCCGAATTAGAAGTAGAATGTTTGAATGATAGATAACTCACCGGAGTGACGGCAGCGCAGTGAAAGTAGGCTGGTTCTGGCATGGTGGCCAGCAGCTTGGTCCACTGGAATGTCTGCAGGTTGATCTTCCACAGGTCAGATAGGATCAGCTCTCCATTATAACCCCCACATATAAACACCTCTGGAAGTAGAAACAGAGCTAAACTTATATTTAAAAGAAATAAACATTTCAGTGTGTCCAGATTATGCCGTGTTAAAAACTCCGTACCATCTTTGACCTGCACACAGCTGTGACAACGACGGGCAGCAGGATATCCTGTTATGACAATTAAATGAGGTAAATTCAATGTGTGGTGCCTAAATACTTTATTCACCAAAGAAAATAAACAAAACACAAACCTATTTGTCCATGCTGTTTGGTGACAATTTCCTCCCAGTAATTTGTCTCCAAGTTATATGCGTGAATCTGATGAAGACAAATGGTGTTAAAAATGAGTTGGACATTTTCTCTGAAATATGTTGGTCTATGCATCTTCCCCTCACCTTGTCCATGGGATATGACGTCCAGGAAGTCCCACCTCCTAAAATGTATATTCTCTGTCTATCATGAGCTAGTTCATGTCTGTACCTGTGAAACCATGCATTCATTTTAGTCTATTTTAATGAAAATGTGGGATTCACGGTCACACACTGTAGTTGTTTACACTATATCTGCAGTCTGACCTCTCCTCAGGAAGATCTGAGGGTGTGTTGTTGGGTTTGAGGTGGGTCCACTCTCTGGTGCTCAAGTCCAGCCGGTGCAGGTCAGTGCTGTAAAGGTAGCCTGTTGTCCCGCCAAACACATAGAGGTACCCATTTATGATGACCATCGCCTGGGAATGGAGATCAACATTTTAGGACTTGAGCTTTATATCCAGACCAGATTAAGAGAGACGGACGCTGTCACCTGTCCGTAGATCTTGTTGGGTTTCTTCCCTTTGCAGGTGAGGAGGTTCCACCGTTTGTACTGAACATTGCAAACATGGACCTCGTTGCCGTTGTTTTCCCCAAATGGAATCCCAGTGCCACCAAACACAAGCAGGTTGTTGCCGTGTAAAACAGCTGAGAATGATCATTGCTAAACAATTAGTAAATGTAGCTATAAAGTTGCCAAACATAAAAATGCTACTTGCAATAAACAAACAGATATGAATTAGTATTTTCACAGAATGAATGTAATTGAATAACATGTCACTATATTCAAAGGTGCAATTTTGCAGTCTTTCACTTTTTATCTTGCAATGACAATGAAATAGTATGTATACTCGTCAGCCCAAGTCTCTACTACAGTTGAATAACTTGTTAAGAATGCCTAATAAGGTTGGTTCAAATCTACTTACTGATCATTTCACATTTCCTGAAGCTTTCAGTTGCAGCTTTAAAAATTACAGTATTAATAAGCATTACATTGTAAAATGTAGACCACTAGAAACATCACTAATGCAATGGTTTGAGGAATTGGTCCCTTTGTTGTTTATACAAATATTTACCCTGTGTTTGGCATGTGGTAGGCACCGATTTCATTCCCTGTTGTTTTTTTGGTGCATTACCGCAACCTGTTATTTGTAGAATATTTTAAAGCCTTTAGCATGAATCTGTGTTGTGTCACCTGAATTCAAATATGTCATAAAACGTACACTCCATAGTCCCATATAAACGCCAAAGGGTACCTTTAGTAATAATGGTAGGTGGTTCTAAAAAAGGAGAACATGTGTGTGCAGGGGAGCAGCATATCTATCTTTACCTGACATAGAAGCCAGCTCTGTGGGCATGTAACCCTCTGTGCGTATCTGCTGCCAGGTGGCCGTAGCAAAATGAAACTTCCAAAGCTCCCTGAAGAGAGGGTAGTCCTCATTATTGGACCCCCCTGCCTCCTCAAAGTCAGGGTTGTAGCCTCCAAACACATACAGGTTGGTGCTGTCTGCAACACAGCGGTGTCCGCTGCGGGCGGGGGGTACACAGAGTCCTGTGGGGGGAGCACGGTCAAGACACTGTGAAGGCTAATAGATAGAATAGAATCGGAGGGATGAAACCCCTCAGTGAAATGTGGCCTCTGCATTTAACCCATCCTAGTACCAGGAGTCTAGTACTAGGATATTTAACTTGTATATAGACTCTTATTGCACATTCCTATTGTATTAACTATAATATAATGTACTTTAATATTGTTTTAATATTGTCTGCTTATCTGTATATTGTGTTGCATTGTTGGAGAAGCCTGTGACCTAAGATTTTCAATGACATAATTACTCTGTAGCTATGTTAGTTTGACAATAAAGAACCTTGAACCTTGAGGAGCAGCTATTGTACAGCCGCCAGGGAGCAATGGGAGTTGGGGGGGGGGGGGGGGGGGGGGGGTTTGTCCGGTGCCTTGCTCAAGGGCACCACGGCAGGGCCCAGGAGGTGAACTGGGACCTCTCCAAGTAGTAGTCCACACTCCATATTTAGGTCTGTACGGGAACTTGAACCGGCGACCCTACGGCTCACAGTCCAAGTCCCTACTGACTGTGCCACTGCCGGATGAAAGAGAAAATTGAGCAATTGAACAGCATGTATAAGCATAGATACAACTGGGTGGGATTTACAAAACTAAAGTTTAAGTATACATTTGACAGGAGGGGGTGACTCGATCACAGTTATTTTGTGAATTTACAGCACCTTCTCTCAGAAACCTGTTGGGGATCCGAAGGTTGGGGCAAGAAGGGGAGAAGATGCGCCGAGCCTGAAGCCACCGTGCCCGCTTCTTGGAGCCTGCCAATCACAATAAAAAAGTGAAAAGAAAGAGTGGGTAAGCAAAATATAGAGTTAATTCAACTTTATTTAAATACTTAAATTCATACAATCATTCACCTCAAAGTGATTTACAGAGCACGTTTAAAATGGACCACAATAAATGCAAGTTTTAGAAAAACTACAACAATAAAATGTTTGAATTCACTAGAAAAAAAATAGGCTCATGGGATCAAAAGCCAGGCTAAAAATATATGTCCAGAGGTTTCATTTTCAAATTGTCCAAAGTTAAAGTTGCTCAGATGTAATGGGTGGGTGTATGTCAGAGGTTGGATTAGGGGCACTTTAAGAAGAAATAAGAAATAAATACAAATCGTTTTTTGAGTCTTATATTTAAATGTGTACTATCTAGTACTAGTAGATACCGTAAAGGGTGTCTATTGGCAGTGGCTGGGGGTTGTCTGGGTAAACATGTTGTGGAGTTAAAGGCCGTTTCAGACATTGAATTTACATAATATTAACTTTTTTAAACTCACTGTCGTATGCAAGTAATGGATATTTGTTTTCATTATAACAGTGAGGCAACGTGTACTGTTGTCCGAGCAGTGTCTCCACCATGAAGCTTATACTTGTACCCTTCAGTCTCCCATGATTTAATCCCCATTAAAAAGTGAATAACTATCACAATAGCGCTGGAGATGCCTGCTGGGAGTTCATTCCCTGATGTCTACTGGCTTCCGTAGCACGTTAGCTAGCTGTGGCCTGTGTGCACCACATCGCTTTATCACAGACAAACTCAGAAACAGGAGTCTACATAAAAGGCAAGAAAAATACTTACTTGGATTACAATTTAATTTTCCATTTGCTTTGCTGTCTACAACATGCTGCTCGTTGTTGCAGAAGGTTTGTTTACAGACCTGAGTCGCGGATGGAGGGCCTCCACGACAGTTTCTCAAACTTATTGAACTGACTCCCGTCCTGCTCGGCCGAAGACATCTCGACAGGGAGCCACACACACACCAGCTTCACACCTGAACCGCCACCCGCTTCAGTGTGACTACACGGAGTGGCATGGAGCTGCAATCACAGCATAATAAATAAATCTTACTAACGAGCGTCCACACCTGCTGCTGCTGCTGCTGCCCACCACCGGCAGCTGGTCTGCGCTGACCAATCAGAGGACGGGGAGCCTACATGTCGTGTTCAAGAGCCACATGGTCGTGTTTATATGTTTGCAGCGATCCTAAATGTTTACATACAGTATGTAGAATATGTTTAAAGAACAGCTTAAATATAGAAGCAGGTTTAGCATTCTATGTGTGTTTGGATTATCATTTACTTACCCCAAATGAGTGCCACATGTAAAACAACTAAGATATCATTGCTAGAAGTGCTATGTTACTCAAGTAAGTACAATTTACTTTTTAATAAAAAATAATGAACATTCCCATCAGCATTTAATAAAGGTGATGCCTTCGAATGCTTGTGTCTGGTCCAATTTACAGTTTATAACATTTGCATTCTCATAAAACAAATGATCCCAAGTGATGTGATAAGTAAACCAAGTCATGTAATACACATGAACAATTAGTAGATTATCCGAGACTGATTTTACGTCTATTTTCAGCCAGATAACTGCACATAACTTAATCTGATATAGTTAAACGTCTGGGATGTACATGGTGAGGCAATATCCCTTAAAAAATAAATGACCTTACAACACTACTTTTTAAATTGCTTGCAAAATATAAAACAAGATTAACTTTACATGGTAGATAAGGAGTTCTGTTGAGTGACTATGAGAAGAACAAATGGTTGGAGGATCAACCTTTAACCCAGATCTTCTGGTGCTGCTTTGCTGACTTGTGATAATCTTGATTTGAAGCTCATTGGGATAGGATGAAAGAGCAAACAGATCAATCCCCATGAGAGGCTGCTAGGGCTTTTCCCACATAGACTGTGTGAAACAAAGTAGGCCTACAGTTTATAATTGTAAGCAAGAGTTGTATCAGTAACTCTCACAGAACAAATAGTGATTGTTAATAGAGTAGATCATACAATCTCTTTTGTCTTGAGTGTTTACCTGCAGTTAACAGTCTTAACATTACAATAAAACACTTCGGAGCAGATTTTTTTTGCAATGTGGTCATGTTAATGTTTACATTTAACGACATTGCTGCTATGACCCTATACTTATAACAATAAAATATATTTTTGTTCTGCATTTCTAGCCTGTTTCTGCTGAGGTAGCTGCCCACAATGCACCAATTAATCAACTTAAGTTCCATGTCGTCCACCATGTTTATTCACAAATTTCCCTTTGAAAACTTTGCAACTTCACGTTGGTGGTGGTAATTTTAAGTCATTTTATGTTATTTGTTAGCGGAGATGATCAGTCATTTAGTTTATGTAACCTTGTCCTCCAAAAGATTATGTGTAGGAAATGAAGCCAGTCTATGATGTTTATTTTCTGATTTTATGTAAAGCGTCTTTGAGCATTAGTAAAAGTGCTATACAAATCCCATGTGTTATTATTATTATTATTATTATGAAAAGTCACTGACAGCATAAAAAGCTGCAGCTGTGCTAATGAGATTAAACAAGGGACGAGTTTACAGCATTGTTTCATTCCGGTGATCTACTCAAAGATTCATGGAGGTCGTCACTGGATACCCTCTCATCTAGAGTGATAAGTCTGACTGGCAGATGCACTACATTCATGATTTCTGTTTGTTCATGACTGAAGAGACTCAAACAGATAACCAAATTATTCTGAATGGTGTAATTCACAAAAGCCATTTTAAGTAAGCCAACCAAAGTATTGTTTGTATTAAGATGGAAACATGGAAAGCCAATAGACATCAACTGGCACAAAATGATAGCTTGAACAAGCGTTTTACTCTGGTAAGCAATGTTGTGCACAGACGCTGACAAAGATGACACCACTTAAAATCCACCAATGTCCTGAATTCAAAAACATGGAGATTTAAAAACTCAGATGTAAATAACAAAAGCATGACAGCCTTTAAGGGTTGCTTTGATGAATTCCAAAGTGTCAAACATTTAAGGAAGGAGTAGCATAATACGAATATTTAACCCTCAACATACCCGCTTCAACACAGAACAGAACCACAACATATTCAGAAAAGTGTGTGCAACATGTGACAAAGGAGTAGTGAGAGCTAGTGAGAGCCCTGTAAACTTGGAATAAGAGCAGATTAATTATTTCATATGTGTGTTCTTGTGTTGTCACACATTTTTGTTTAAGTCTTATTCATGGCTCTCTTCTTGGCTCCAGACGGCTGGAGAAACTCACCTGACATAATTGAAACAAAGGTTTTTGACACTATACTTGTTTTTGTTGTCATCGTATGACAAGCAATGGTCCCATGACCTGAGGAGGTGTCGTGGATATTTTAAACTCGTCAATACTGTAAAGATGTACAATGAGAGCAATCAATAATAAACTGGTGAAAGCAAACAGCGTTGTCTTGTTGGTTATTTATTTGAATCTTCAAAGGCACAGGTCTCACAGAGTATAGGATAGTCTGCAGGAGTGCACGCAATAGTCACAGAATAGCAAAGCTTATATATACAAGATAGGGCGGGCAGACAAAGTTTTGTGTAGCTAGGCGGAACGCCTCAGAAATCTGCTTTCATACGGATGTCTCATATTGTTATTAGACTCCTGTGTCCTTGAGCTGTAGAAAGTATAACGGTTATCAGAATATGGAAGTTCAAACTTTGTGTGAAGAGGAGTAGTTTCAACATAGTCTGCCAAATCAGCTCTGTGGCCTTGAAGCGCTTGAGAATAATAACCCTCATTAGAGTATGCAGAGAAAACAGCATATATCAGGAAATGGCAGTAGTGTTAGACAATACTTTTTAGAAGCATTTGGTTTTAGCATATAAGGTAACATAAGAAATTGCCACTACAGAGGTCATGTGAGATTCTCAAGGCATTTATGATTTGGGAATCCAGCATTACATGTATATCTGACAATTTAATGCAAAGGAAATTACACCAAGTACAATTCAAAAAGTTGTAGAATCAAATACACCAATAATAATGAAATATGCTGATCTAACTCAAGTGCTACACTTAGAGACAACAGGAGACTCTAAGATGAGTTTTCAGTCTGTTTTTTAGGTACAATTTTAAGGCTGTAGTACTTTCCTTGAGTATTTCTATGTTATGCTACTCCCGTCTTCTGTTCAATAACATCTTAGAGGGAGATATTGTAACTACTTTTTCCTCCACAATGTTTAACAGCTTTAGTTGTATACAGATTTACAAAACTGATACAATTAACTAATGAATTATAATGTATTATTATAGACTACCTATCAGCATATGTGATGAGTCAGCTCCACTTATGCAATATTAAAATTATGAACACATTAATGCCTCACTAGTTATAATCCACTCATGATTCTGGAATTAGCCATATTGTATAATTAGAGATTTATATATGGTTATATATTTTTGATGCAAATAATTAAGTACTTGTATTTTGAAAGAAAAAAAATTATATTTAGTTATTGCGGGTTTGATAATGTTTCTTAAATCAGCAATTACTTGAGTGAGCTACATGTTTCAATGCTACTTTTATTAAGCTATGTGTCTACTTTGATCATATTGTGTCCTTTTCTGACTGTACTAGATATGTTAATTATTCACCAATTGATGGGTATTTACCAAACTAAAGTCAGATAAGACGCTAAAATGACTGCGAAAAAACACAACTTTGGCCTAAAGTGTTTTTTGCAGCCTTCCTATAAATTCATTTTGTCATAGATGTGGCAATAATAGAAAGGCAAGCACTTTTACTTTGCACACTATTTCACCAGATGAGATAGAAAAAAACCCTCACATCTGCATACATCTTTTTAAAATATCGACTTCCATCTTTAAAAGTATGATCACAGCACTTTTATTCGCTGACTTTGATGACTCACTAACAGTGTAGTGTGTTCTGTGCGGTGTATTTCTATAGCTCAGACCCTCCTCTCGCAGTCTGGTGGCTGGAGGTTGATGTCAGTCTTCAGGACAGGACACTGGAGCAGAAACACTGAAGATCCGTTGAGGAAAAGTGGGCGATGTTGCAGTTAGGATCTTGTTTATGGACATTAAGGAAAGGCTTTTGAGAGTTTGTAGGAATTTCCAAGCGGAAAGGTTGAGGTAGCCTTATCGTCGCAGTATTTTTAAATCACTTCTGAAAGGAATACAAAAATGTCGTCTCCAAGTCCGGGCAAGAGGCGAATGGATACCGACGTGGTGAAACTGTATCCTTTTCTGAACATAAACAAGCCTAAATACACAACTAGGCTTCTTTTATAATCATTTGTCAGCTCTATTATGTTGATAAATGACAGTATTTGGTCCCGATGGCTGCTACAATGATGTATATTATGTTCTAGCTTTGTGATATTAATAGATTTGGTTAAAAGTGTGTAATGCTAAACAGTTGGATGTTAATGGTTAGCTCTGTGTCTAACCTTAGATTCTGCGGGGTTGGCATACGTTAGCCACCTTAGCTAACTATTCAGTTAGCAGTATAGCGAGGAAGCTACACATTTAACGTTATTTATGTGAAGTCACTCGCCATTGTTAGCTTGCTAATACATAAGCGATGGTGTTCTTGTTTTTATCAATCGAATTAGCAACGGGATCTGTCGCAATACAACGCTGGCTGGAAACTCTGTGTTAGCTATAAGCGTTGTTAGCCTTGGCTCGGAAGCGATAAGTTAGCCTGTTAGGCAATGATACGTGGTCCCCCCGGACTGACAACACAATGTGAAAGACTGGCGAGGAATATTTAGCATTTAGAAAATGCTTCTTGGGACAGACGTTTGTTTTTTCACGATTTAGCAACGTTAACGTCACGGGAGCTAGCTGTGTAGCATGATACCACGAAGGGAGAACAAATAAGGTCAATGTAGCGTAACGGAGACGATCTTTGTCAACAGCCAACTACATTAATTAACGTTAGATAACCACGTTTGACCTTTTGTGCCTTCAAAATTGCTGTCTCAATACAACACAATCATGTTTCATATTGTCGATAAACAAAACTCACATTTTATTTATAGTGAATACATCACGATTGGCGTGTTTTCAACAAACGATTCAAAAATAAATAAAACGACTTGTGATATTTTTATAGAATTTTAACGACGCTGAAAAGGGAAACAAACGCCAATGGATATGTTTTTATTTAATTACACTTTTGTTCTCACCACTTTTTGATGTCACATGATGTTTATGTTTTATTTGTATTTGGTACTATTGGTAATTATTTGCAGTTATCAGCTAAAGTTTGCATGAGAGGATTTCTGACAGCGTGAGCAGAATTGTTTTGTTTTTGTCCTGCAGCTAGATGCTGCTCTCTGATTGGTCAGACTGTTACCATCCGGAACATGGTAGAGGGCGGGGCTCCACATACA